TCCAACAACACTGCAACTCATAAATCAAAGACAAAACAACAAACGAATTAACAAATTTTAACTAGAGAAAATAAATAAATAAAATTAAACTTCAAATTTACTTAAAAACGTCAACCAGTGAAATGTAATTTTTTATTTTTTCCTTACACACGCTCATTTTTATTTTTACTCTCCCGAAAACTTTGACTTTTGTAGGTTTGACGTCAAATTGGCTTCTACCTGTTTTTATTGTACCATGAACACCAGCCAACAATCAAAATCAAGAGAGTAAGCGAAAATTCTCTCCCAAAGAGATGAAAAAGCAAAAAAGTAAACGAACAGGAAATTAGCCATTATTTGCAAAAACCGGAAGAAGAAGACACGCCAGCTGACTTTGTTTATGTTTTATTTGTAAACAAACTGAAATTCTTGTTGCCCCATAGAAGAAAAAAAGAAAGTGAACGTTCAATGTTCGCCAGGAACATTTCTAGTAGTAAAAACTAGGTGGCGCTATCAGAAAGTCACATAGCAGGCAGCCAAAAACCATATAAATACCAAAACTCGGAAAGTGCAATTTTGTTTTCTGACTAAAATGAACGCCAGTACAAAATGAACGCTTCTCTTGCATCAAAATGAGCGCTTCTCTTGCATCAAAATGAACGCTTGCTCTCTCAATTTTTTGTGTGTTGGATAATTTTTTGTCGTTATCGAACGCCATCCAGTAAAAATTTGGATTTGGCTGACATCCTCCTTACCGGAGTTGGTGACTTTTAACACCCTCCAATCTACCGTCGGCACGTCTGGATTCTGTCTGCAGAAGCCGCAGCGCATTCTCCGGTTTTACCGCGAGGGGTATGAGCACCTTCGCTTTCGGTAAGGACGGTATGCAGCTGCGGTAAAATATAACTTTAAGATTAAAGTAAAATATAACTTTTTAAGATTAAAGTAAAATGTTACTTATCATTTCATGATTGACAGCGTGGTTGTTGTCAATTCTATACATGCATTTGCTTTATAGTATAGTAAACAAATGAACTAAAGTGAAAGTACATGACGTCCATCGCGTCACCGTCACCGACACCGTCAGTTGTCAAAAAAGTTGAACTTGTCTATTTGTATGAACAAAGTTGACGGTGACGGTGACGCATAAATTAGCTTATGTTTGAACTTTGTTTTTGCGTCTGCGTCAAGTCACATCTATTCTGCGTTTTGTTTACATATTGGAACTTAAATTTTTTCAGTTTGTGAAAATTTTTGGATTTTTTTAAATAAGAAATGTATGCCATGATGAAAGAAAAGTAAAAACGCAATTTTTGCAAAGAGCACCAGCGAGATTTTGATTTTGCGGGCGCAATGGTGTATGGATAGTGTGTAACTTGCCGCATAAGCACCGTTAACGCTGGTAATGACGGTGAAGGTGTCGGTGACGCAATGAACGTTGTGTACTTTCGCTTTTAGCAACAAGAGTTTACGGGGTGTACATTAGAGCGGGTCGATTTTTAGGGAACCAAAAAAAAACGAATACTCGCATATTCGGAATATGCTCTACGAATCACTCTGAGCAACTTTGCTTAAGAAACCATGGGTCTAAAACCAGCTTTGAGCCAGCGAATTTCAAGGGGGAGGTATCAGGTAGTACAAAATTTTGTGGGAAAACCTTAAACAAATAGCTGATATATGTATGAGTGTAAGGGTACAAAAGGCAGTTTATTTTTTTGAAAATACTTAAATAACTAAGTTTTTAAGTCCTGCTTACTTTTCAAGCGGGGTATATTTATATCCGAGCGCACTTGTGCACAAGGGTATTATAACATTGTTCACATAACGGTTGTTTGTAATAGCCAAAACGAATCGAGATAGATATAGACAAATATATACATAAATGATCAGAATGAAAAAAAAAAATCGATTGAAATCGAGTGTAAACTGAGATATCTCAACGAAAGTAGGTATGCATACTTCTTTTTTAGCGTAGGACGGATGATATTGAAAATGGGCAAAATCGGACAGTAACCACGCCTACCTCCCATATAACGATAATTTTCAGATAGTAGTATAAATATAGCGGTTCTGGACAGGTGCTAGCAGCGCTGCTGGTGCGCTGCCGCAAGCTTTGCTGCTCCGCCAAAAGATGCCGCCGATTGAAATCGAAGTTCAGAACCCAGATAAAAGCCGCAAGATGTCGCTGATGACAAATCCGAGTCCAGAACCGGAACCGATCACAGGGTGTACCACTGATGGAAATCTGTGAAATCCGATACCATTCAGAACCGGAATCGATCACAGGGTGTACCGCTGATGGAAATCTGAGAAATCCGATACCGGAATCGATCACAGGGTATACCGCTGATGGAAATCTGAGAAATCCGATACCAGGTGGTTTATATGTCGAAAATAATAAAGTGTGTTGGTAGGTATACATATATACATACCAGAGCTGAAAAACTGTGAAATCATATGAAATTAAAAATCATCAGTTTTATGTTATTACCCTGCAAAAAATGCGACTAATCCGGGATGACTCCGGGAGCAATCGCAAAGGAACATGCGACTAATACCACATTTGATCTCTTTATATGGAATGAACTGTTCGCTTTTGTTCGAGCATGTCCTATGAAGAGACTAATTGTTCACCTTTATACCCGAACGGGTATAAAAAGCGACTATTCACTTTTAAAAAATAAAAATAAAAATTTGCGCCAGCTGAGATTCGAACCGGGGTGCTCAGTTTTGTTAGGCGAATACTCTCTCTGTGTGCCAACGCCGCACAT